TCCATAGACGAGCTACAGGCTAAAGAGTCTACATAGACGAACCTGAGGCCTAGGAAGTCTCCAAAGCCAAGGGGTGCTCTACCCACACATTTTAGAATGTTTAATAGCCATTCTTAAGTCAGTCTATATATGTCAGCTGAAGGTCAAGGGAGCCTCTAAAGATGAGCTGAAAAATAGAACGAAGACGATTTGTACAAATCGTCGGAGAATCGGAGTAGAATTAGAAATTTTTCGACGAATTAGAAGAAGTATTTTTTAAAAAGTTGAAATGATTCTTTTTCGACGAATCGGGAGGTGTTTTTTTCCGACGATTTCGGATCCTCAACAGATGAGCTGAAAAAAGAACGAACACGATTTGTACAAATCGTCGGAGAATCGGAGTAGAATTAGGATTTTTTTCGACGATTAGGAGAAGTCTTTTGAAAAAAATTTGAAAGGAGTCTTTTTCGACGAAGTCGGGAGGTGTTTTTTGCGACGATTTGTACAAATCGTCGTAAAATCGGAGTAGAATTAAGTGTTTTTTCGACGAATTGGAAGAAGTCTTATTCGACGAGTTGGAAGGGGTATTTTTCGACGAGTTAGAGATATCTTTCTCGACGAGTCTTCATAAACGAGTTGTTGTCTGTGCGTCCTCTTCAAAAATGAGCAGAAAATATAAAACTCGTGGCAACTGCCCGATCTGAAGTCAGAGAGCCCTTATAGACAAGCTAAGCGACAAAAAATCCAAAATTTCATATTTCCTTCAAAATCGACGGGTTTTTTTAAGGATATCCCAGGATATAACAGTAGGTCCAAACTATATATCACTCAACTGGAAAATGTCACCAAGATATCCTTGACTGATGACTAATGACTCCTTGACTGATGGACTGACGGATATCTATGAAAATACCCAAGTCTTTTCAAACGTGACCTTCAAAAGCCAAATATTTCACAACTGTATCCTCGTAAGCCCCAAATCCTTGAAAGTTTCCCCAATGTGTCCTTCAAAATTCTTGAATTTCTCAAAGTAATTCTTGGGAATTTATTCAAATTCATGAAAACTTCAATTCATGAAAACCGGATATCCTTGAAGGCCTATAACTTTCTCAAAAGTGTCCTAAAAGGCGGTGGTCTCCGAAAAATACCTCCTTAAAGAAATTCTCGAAACTCAAATTAATTTCTCAAAAAATATTCAAATATATCCTTGAAAATCAATTCAAATTTTTCAAAAGTTCTCGAAGCTATCTCTGAAAATCCTCGAAATTCACTCATATCCTGAAAAGTGTCAACAAGATATTCTAGAAAATTCTCGAGTTCCTCTGGGGTATCCTTGAAAATACCCGAGTTTTTCATAAACAATCATTAAAAATCGAAAAGTTTCCTAAACACATCCCTTGAAAATTTCGTAGGGATGTCATAAAAAGTCCCACATTTTCTCATGTCCTTAAAAATCCTTGATAATTTCCCGAAGGAGTCCTTGAAAATTTTCAGATTTCATAGGTTTGTCGCTCAAAATGGCCATGATTCTCTAAGATATCATTGCAGAGCTTGTCTTAAACCCATGAGATTTTTCCAGGGATATCTTTGAAATTAATTTAAATCTTTAAAAGTTCCGAAGACATGCTGAAAAATATACGAATTCCTAACAATGTCCTTGAAAATCGCCGGGGATTCCCTAAGATGTCCTTAAGAATCTGGAAATTGTTAAAATACAGGTATCTCTCGAAAAAAATCCTCGAAAAGACCTTCAAATCATTTAAAGTTTCTCAAAGACTTCCTTGAGAAACCCCGATTTTCTCAATGATATCCTTGAAAATCCTTCTAAATCTTTACACAATTCTCAAAGATACCCTTGAAAATCTACGATTTTGATATGGATTTCATTGATTAAAGTTTTACAGAGCCTCACTTAAAATCTTTGAATTTCTCAAATATTTAAACACAAGTGTCTCTTCGAATTTTTGAAATATGTCCTTCAAAACACAGAAGTGTCTCTCCAAGATATCTTCGAAAAGCCCCTCAAACCATCAACATTTCGCAAAGATATCCTTTATAAATCTAAAAGTTTCTCAAATATATTCTTCAAATTTCTCAAGCTTCCTGAGGATGTAACTTAAATCCACTAATCTTTAAAAAAAGGAAAGTCTTAAAAAAATTAGAAAAATATCCTTGAGCCTTGGGATATCCTAAAAAAATCCTCGAATTCCTCTAGGATATCCCTGAAACTCAGAAAATCGTCTTCAAGACACTTTGAGAAATTCCGAGATTCTAAAGATGTCTCTGAAAATGTTAAAATTTGTATTCGGAATATTCTTGAACCCCATTAGTTATCAAATACATATTTTTAAAATGCCGGTGTCCTTCAAAGATATCCCCCAAAAGCCCCTTTAAAATCTTAAAAAAATATCCCGAGGTATCTAAAAAATTCCCTTTTGGATATCCTTAAAATCCTTTGAAAATCCATTGAAATCCTAAAATTTACTTGTTGGAGATCCTTGAAATCCATTTGAAATTCCTAACATGTTCTTAAGAGTCTAAAGAATATATATTTAAAAAATCCCAGTCACATCCTGAAAGGACATGTGGATAATTCTGGAATCTACATCCCGATGGGTTTTTAATATGGCACAGAAAATCATTTTAACCTTCCCTTATAATTCCACAAATAATGTCTTTCATTCCCAACCCATCCTCGTTTTTTGTTTCCATGGCCAAGAAAATTCAAAGCCTAATACAAGAAATACAAAAACAGCACAACAACAACAATAATGTCCTTAGATTTGTACATAAATATTTATGACACGAAACTAATGCCAATTTAATCAAACTGGAGCAAAAGTGTTTGCAATAATTTCTAGTTTTGTAATGTGGAAGCCGGGTGGAGGATGCCACAATAGCTGAAGGAAAAAGATCTCCCCTCTCTCTCCCCCTCTCTCCTCTCTCTTTACACAAATGGCCAAAGACAAATTTGCATTTATTGGCATTATTCGTCTGCTTTTTTGTTTGCCTTCCGAAATTCAAACAACAACTGCAACTAATGACCCAACATTTGTACTTTCTTCCCCCTCCCGCTCTCTCATTACAGGTCAGCCTATGTGCCATGCGAAGCCCAGGGCTTGGATGCTGTCCAATTGGCGCTGGAACAAATCGACATAATCAGGCGCCTGACAGACATGTATCACCAGGACACGGTGTTGGTGCAGTCGTCGAAGGACATTCAAATGGCCCAGAGGCAGGGCTTAATCTCATCACTGATTGGCATTGAGGGTGGTCATGCAATTGGCTCTTCGCTGGGGGTACTGAGGTCCTTTTACTCCTTGGGTGCCCGCTATTTGAGTTTAACCCATAAATGCGACGTGTCCTGGGCCGGCTCCAGCTCAACGGCCATTGATGCAGGGCTGTCGCAATTTGGCAAGGCCATAATTCGAGAAATGAATCGGCTGGGCATGATGATTGATTTGTCCTATAGCTCGGATAACACCGCCAGGGATGTGCTGTCCGCCACCAGGGCTCCAGTGATTTTTTCCCATTCGGGCGCCAGACAGTTGTGTAACTCCACGAGGAATGTCCCAGATGATATTCTACGCCTGGTGGCTGAAAATGGTGGACTGGTAATGGTGAGTTTTGATTCGAGGATGTGGCCTGTGGCCGCCAGTCCCGGCTCAAGGATGTGGTGGACCACATCAAATATATCAGGACCATTGCTGGCATACAACACATTGGTCTGGGCGCCGGGTACGATGGCATTGAACTGCCCCCCATTGGCCTGGAAGATGTCTCCAAATATCCCGATTTGCTGGCCACCCTCCTGGAGGATCCCAACTGGAGTGAGGAGGACATTGCCATGTTGGCGGGTAAGAATTTCCTACGCATCATGGAGACGGTGGAGAATGTGCGCGACTATTGGAAACGGGCAGCCATACAACCCATTGAACAGACTGAACCCCAGCCCAAGAGTCAGTGTGCCTATATGGCATCGTGACCCCAGGCCCAGGCAGTGGTGCGTAAGACCCGTTATGCCGATTTCTGGCATTACGAAGCGCAGCAGGAAAATGAGACCCAGGTTGAAGGGACATCAAGAAAATCAGCCAAAATCAGCGGCTGTTTCTCTCAAGGCCCTGCCATGGATGGTAGCAGGGAGCCTGGTATGGAGCAACGGAAACAAATAATCAAACCCAAAAATCAACAATGACTCGAAGTGAAGTTGGTCAACAATTAGAGATATTGAAATTTAATTTCTAGATAGCGAACGAAAGAAGAAGAAGAAGAAGAAGCACAGAGTTGAAAGGTATTGGTAATCGTATAACCCTTTTGATTACCCCCCACACATGTATTTAATGCATTACATGGTAATGCATGAAGTAAGCGCAAGCAAAATGTTTAGTCTTAAGTCTTTGATATGAAAAATGAGTATTGAAATTTGAATACAAATCAAATAGATGAGAGTAAATCGTCTCTAAAGAGAATGCTAAGAGTTATTGGTATTATTGAGAATTTTTATTTGAAAAAAAAAATGGTAAAAAACTAAAAAAAAAAATCATTCGAAATCTGTGATTTTCAAAATTATAAATTAAAGGAAAAAAATTATTAAAATTTTCAGTGAATATAAAATTTATTATTTTTCCTTCCTTAAATTAAAATATTTATTATAATTATTTATTATTTATTTATTTATTTTTTTTTTTTTTTTGAAAAAAAGAGAGGGAATTTTCAAAAAAAAATATTAACTTTTTTGTGATTTTTATATACATGGGTTCAGAATTTTTTCTAGTTAATGTTAAAAAAAAGATTTGTATAAATGAAAATTCCAAGAATTATATAATTCTTCAAAATCTTCATCAAATAAATGATATAATAAACCTTAACGGATTTTCTTTCCATATTTGAGTTTTTGAAGTTAAATTCAAGGCATCCTCGAATTTCTCGGAAATATTCTTCAAAAAACCAAGAGTTTCCCAAAGATATGACAGGCAATCGCCTACTTCTCATAGACTCCCCGAAAAAACTAATGAATTTTTCAAAGCTATCGTTAAAAGTGACTCAATTTTAATTAAATTTTAAATTTCTTTAAAATTTAATTTAAAAAAATCGAGCTTTTCAAGTATTTCCTTAAAAATCCACTCAAATTCTTAAAATTTCCCAAAATATTCTTAAATATTGAAGATTTTTTTAGATTTTTTTCATCAGAAAATACTCTTAAAAATCCAAGGTCTTCTCAATGATATTCTTGAATATCGTGGAGACTCTTAAAGACATACTCGAAAATTCGAGAGAGAAATATCCTTGGAAATCATGAAATTTCCCACAGATATCGTTAAAGACCCACTCAAATTCTTATTTCAGTTTTTGTCAGAGGTAATTAAAGTCAAATATATCCTTGACAATAGCAAGTGCTTCCCAAGGATATTTTTAAATGCTCTAATCTGTTCAAAAATATCCTGGAAAATCCACAACAATATTTAACAATTTCTCACAGATTACAATTGATGATCCTGTGCCTATCAGGCCATTACTGAGTAATCCTCAAGATTTTCAAAAAGTTCCTAGAAATACAAAAGTTTCCTAAAGATACCTATGAGATACCTTACAAATCCTTACAATTGTCTGACACTTATCCCTAAAAAAATTCTCAAGGAATTTCTTCAAGATATCGTAGGAACGTCTCATCAAACCTGTCTCTAAATATGCTGCCTAAAAACAAACTACAACAATCTCAAATTCTCAGGGAGTTTCCACAACGTTTCTTTTCAGGGATATCCTGGAAAAATCTAGTTAAATCCTTTAAATGCTCTTGGATTTATCCATAAAAATGTATTTTAAGATATCCTTGAGAACTCCATGGTTCTCAAAGATGTCCTTAAAAATGCTGGAGTATTCCTACTCTGAAATATATTCTTGAAAATCCAAATCTATAAAAATTTCCTAATGTTTTGACATTTCATCTGCTTCTCAAATATATCCTTGAAGATTTTCGAATTTCTCAAGGACATCGTAAAATTGTTGAGGTTTTTAAAAACTATATAAAAACGTTTGAAAGCGGTCAATAAATATCCTTCAGTTCCATAAAATATCCTTGAAAATCGAGTTTTTGGCAAAATCTAGTCAAATCCTTCAAAAATTCTCAAAGATTTTCTCTTCGTGAATATTTTAAGTTATTTTTGACAATGCCCTGGCTTCTGAAGGATGTCCTTAGAAATTCAAGAGTATTTTTTCCACAATTTCTTAAATATGTCCTTAGTATTTTTTTTAGAAAATACAAGTGTTTTTTTCCATCCTTTGAAAATCTGCAAGACTTACAACCATTTCTTTCACCCTTCAAAAATACATGGTCTGTTCTTCAGTCTTCCACAAATACTCGGACATATTTCCCATTCATGATTCTATCTAACCTCGAAGATCCTCGATTATTAATGAAATTCTAAAAGATTTTCTTGAAAGTCCTACTCTCAAAAATTCGTCAAATATTTATCCATTCCCTTATCCTATTCTTCCTGTCTAGTCTATCGAAAATCCCCGTGCATCCTCTCCTATCCCCAAACCAAACCAAGATTATTTCCCAAACTCTTCGAAAATCCAAGAGTACTCCTAATACCTCTTGAAAGGCAAAAGTTATTTCCGCCATTCTTTGAAAATTGACAAGTATTTCCCGTATCTCACCAAATTCAACCAATATTTTTTCCAGGCCTTAAACATCTACAAATACTTCTATCATCTTTTGAAAATCTACGAGTATATATGCCGTATTTGTCCCATCCCAAGGATTCAATAGCATTTTCCCTTACCTCTGGAAAACCCAAGGATATTTCTTGCATTATTCGGAGGATTTTTCCCTTGTCTCGCAAATATAAAAAAGTTTTTTCCATCTGTCGAAAATACACCTTCATTCGAAAATCCAACACTATCACTCCCCTCAATCGCAGATCTGGGGAAATTTCTTTTAACCATAAATTTTTCCTAGGAAAATCCTCAGGCCTTGAATATCCAGGAGTAATTGTCTCGAAATTTGTTCCGACATAAATTCACCATAATTTTTCTAAGCCTTCTAAAATCCGCAACTTTTTCTGTCATTCTTCGAAAATCCCCAATCGTGGTCCTTAAGCCCTCGAGTTGTTCTGCCATCCTTTGAAATTCCCCAATTTTCGGCCCTTTCCATTGTCAATTTATTTTCTTGATATCCCTTAAATTCTTAAAATTTCACGAATATTTGTCCCAATTTTCCTCCAAAATTTAGCTTAAATACACCTCAGATGAATCTGCAAAGATGGGCTGGGTATGATCCAATATCCAAATAATCCGTTAGGAAAAATTGGTATTTTATCTATGGCAAAAAATCCAAAAAAAAGGGGATAAAAAACAGCAACAAAAAGATCGGATACTGAATTCGTTTCTTCAAGGGCATCCCCTCCCTCCAAAATTTTACCGTTTAAAATTTCTACAGAATATTTTAATGCTCAAAAATCGCCTCTTTATGTATTTATTGCTCCTCTCCAGAAATAACAACTAAAAATCTGTAAGTGTTAAAATCTTAAAAATAGGGGTCTATACGACGATGTGGACCTGCATAGGCAACTTTTGTCACAAGCTATTACAATATTCAAATGCGAAACCTCAAAAAAAAATCTGTTTATAATGTAGCTAAAATCATCAAAATTCCGAATTTAGGGAGGCACAATGGGGGCTATAAAACGTGGACCTGCACAGACAATCTCCTGCCATAGGCTGTAGCATCCATTACGAACACCTAATACCAAATTTGAAAGAATTCCGGTGAATAATGTCGCTAAAATCAACAAAGTACCGAATATCGGGAGGTATCGTTATATGGGGGCTATACGAAGACGTGGACCTGCACAGACAATTTTCTGTCTTAGGCCGTAGTATCCATTTCGAACTTCAAATACCAAATTTGAAGTAATTCCGATGAATATTGTCGCTAAAATCATCAAAATACCGAATATCGGGAGGTACCGTTATATGGGGGCTATACCAAAACGTGGAGCTACATGGCCCATTTTCAATACCAAAATTCCTGCAGATATAATATACATTTGACTAAAACTTTTATTTACCTACTTCAATTCGTTCGGAAGCTAGAGTGATTTCCACAGACGGATAGACGGACAGACGGATAGGTGGACGGACATCAACATAGAAAACGCTAAATCGACATTGAATTTTATGCTAATTAAGAATATATATACTTTGTGGGGTCTTGAATGTATATTTCGAGGTTTTACAGACGGAATGAGAAACTTATTATACCCTCCATACTATGGTGGAGGGTATAAAATCGAAGAGAACTTTCAAGGTTAAGTGTCAGAGTAAGAAAATATGAGATATATATGAGATCAAAGTCCTTCAATAGTTGCAACTAAAAAAATATATTTAAAAATCGCACCACTATAGCTGCAAGCCGAGATATAACGCCTTACGTTTGGTGACTGGAAACAAATGTCACCCCATAACCTCAAAAATATCCTTGGACAAAATCGGAATTATTTATACACTCACCCAAGTTTTTCGCACCGAAATTACATTTTTTCAGGCTCCTCGAAAATGTGGTTGTTCTGAGTGGTTTCAGTTATGAATATCAATTTTTAAATAAATATTGAGCGTTTTTTTCTCATAATTTATAGCTGGGCGAGATTAACCCGCAGCAAAAATAAATTCAATTTTTTTCCCTCATGAATATTGAACCCATTTTCCCAACAATAGATAAATAAAAATAATTTCCAAGTACTTTAAAAAAATTGGAAATTTCCTCTCTTTTTCTTTTTCTCACTCCCCCTTAAACTCTTTTTCTATCACTAATTTCTCCCATACAATAAATTATTATTATTATCACTGTAACCCTATTATTTTCTGACCCCAGCTGAAGAAAAAAAAAAACAAATTATTTAAATTTCTATTTTAAAATTAAAAAAATGCAAATATTTACAAATGCAAAATGTTTTCTTGTTTGTATGTATAATAAACGAACACAAAAACACACTCAAACACACACACACCCAACTTATATATGTATGTATGGCATTTTTAATAGTTATAAAACAATAAGTAAA